TGGGGCTGGCCCTTGTTCGTGAAGTCAACAGCCCCAGGCCTACCAGAATAGCCAGGTTTTAGTGGCTTTTTGGAAGTCCGATAGAGTGGGAAGGGTCCCAATCTCTACGGGTAGATCGTTCCACAGGGCCGGAGCAGCTACAGAGAAGGCCCTCCCCCGAGGGGCCGCCAGCCGGCATTGTCCGGTCGACGGCACCCAGAGAAGGCCCAACCTGTGAGATCTTATCGGCCGTTGGGAGGTATGTGAATATTTTCCCTGAAATAGAGAAAGTTGTCAGCTTAATCCCCTAAACATTGGTTAGATTACGGCTATCAAATTTGGGCTGGTGACCACTAGAGGCCAGCAAAGACTTATTTCGGTATCTTTGCTGCCCTCTGGAGGTTATCCAGTGCTTTGATGTTAAGATCTGCAGTCTGCTGTTCGTGCATTAGCTTGTTTTCAAAGGGCCGCAAGGCATAAATTCCAAAAGAGAGAATGAGAGGGAGGAAGGGAAGCAGGAAGGGGAGAGAGAGAGAGAGGGAGGGAGGGAGGGAGAGAGAGAGAGAGAGAGATATTTAACTTGCAGAAATACTCAAAATAGACTTTCTTGATTGCAATTTAACTGAACCGCAAGGTAATTTCCTGCAACAAATAAAGTGCCAAACGGCTTGGAATAAAATTTGGATAAATTTTCAAGCCTATTTCTAATGTGTGGTTCCACTTTGTATCTTTTAGGAGAAAATATCAGTTTCCCACTTAGGGTAGCTTCCAGAACCCAGGTTCAGTTACATTTTATTAAAATAAAATCATTTTATAATAATTGAAAAGAAGATAATGCATGAACACCAGACTGCACATCTGAATATCAAAGCACTGAACAACCTCCAGAGGGCAGCAAAGATACAGAAAGAACTCTTTGCTGGCCTCTAGTGTTCACCAGGCTCTTTGCAACCCAAATTTGATGACTTTAATCTACCCAATTTTTAGGGGATTAAGATGACAACCTTCTCTAGTTTACGGGAAATATTCCGTTGTTTGATGTGGACTAAAATGACAAATCTAGTCTGAAAAATCCAGCTGATATACATCAGTCCATAGAAATAATATAATATTTTATGATCACAACAATACGTGGCCAGAGTCACCCTACAGCCATGTTACTAACCTAACAACTGCAGCTATTCACTTAACAACTACGGCAAGAAAGGTCAGAAAATGGAGCAAAATTCACTTGACAACTGCCTTGCTCAGCAACAGAAATGTTGGTCGTAAGTTGAGGACTTCCTATATTGCTGTTTACTAACTCACAGAGTTAAAATGCAACATTTTAAAGCACCAGGTTGGGAAATCCGTTGCAAATACAGAGGATTTGTTTGTAAGTGGGTGCCCAGACAGAATTTTCCTAAGCAAAACAACTTGTTTTTTTTTCCTCTCTCTGCTATTCAAAAGGTTTTCTGTATTTAATCACACCGTGAGGGACCTGAGGTGGTGCTAAGCGACTGTATTTCTCTTTGCAAGCCATAGCATGCCGCTTTTTATTTTTATTCTTTTTTTTTTTCCTATTTGGGAAAAGTCAAGCGTGAATGAATTCTGGCACGACGTTGTAAAACTTCAGGGAAACTTGGGCACGGCCCCAAGAGTTGAATAAATAAGTCAAGGAATTACTGTGCTCCTGCAGGTCCCTTTACTGATCCACCATTGATTTTTGGTTTTTATTTATGAATTATATCATTATTAATTAAATACTGCATCCAGTTTTGATCGCCACACTATAGAAAAGACATTGAGACCAGGGATGGGTTGACACACACACTTTGCACATGCGCTGCATGCTTCACTTGTACGTATACCGGCCACACATAGCTTGCACATGTACAGTTTGCTTTAAATGGTTTACTTTAAAAGGAAATCCCTATTTCCTCCCAATTAGCTGGGACTCGAGAGGCAGAGAATAGATGGGGGCGGGGCCAGCCAGAGGTGGTATTTACCAGTTCTCCGAACTATTCAAAATTTCCACTATCGGTTCTCCAGAAATGGACAGAACTTGCTGAATTCCACCTCTGGTCACGTGATCCGCTTTTGCGACCTCCTGGCAGGCAAAGTCAACGGGGAAGTCGGATTCGTTTAACAATTGTGTTACTAACTTGACAACTGCAATGATACACATAATAATAGTGGCCAGAAAAAGCATAAAATGGGGCAAAATTTACTTAACTGCCATCTTGCTTAGCGACGGAAATTTGGGGCTCAGTTGCAGTCGGTCGCCGAGGACCACCTGCATTCCCATTATTCTGGGAATATTCAAGAAACATCTGTCAAAGTCACCAGATGTGGAGTTCCATCTGATCTTTCCCCTTTGCCCATCGACCCACCTGACCCATGCCGCCATTCGTAATCTCCTTTGATTACAGAGCAGCCGGCCCCTCCCCTTCTCCCCTAAAGCTGTGGGTATAAATTAAATCCTAAACGCT